CTTTTCATGGTGATTATTTGTTTAGTGCTCATGGGAGTTCTTGGAGAGACCGTGGAGCATCATGGCCAAGAGCACAGGTGCTAAAATCAGACTGCTCATATTTAAATCCCACTTTGCTACTTATAGCTGTGTGACCTTGGTTAAGAAGTTGACCTCTCTGGGCCTCAGTTTCTTCATTTGCCAATATTTCTCTTGGACAGAGAGATTGGTGTGGAGATGTGTGACTCAATTGACCAATGAGATTCAAGGCCAGGACTTGCGCTGAGACCACCAGGGAAAAGAAGCACTCTTTCCATTGGGGTTGCTGGGCTGGCAGGATGTGAGCCTGGAGCCGCTGGGGCCATCCTGGCGACCTCAGGGGGAGAGCCTATCTGAGCCTGAAGTTAACACAGCGGGCAGCAGATAAGAGAGCTGGAGAGAGTCATGACGGTATTGTTTGAGCTTCTGGATAGGGCAATGCCTGAAGCAAGCCACTTTTGGACTTCCCAGTTTCATGAGCCAGTAAATTCCCCATTCTGTGAAAGCCACTTTCAGTTGGGTTTTTCTCACTGGAAAGCATCCAGGCTGACACCAGGGGGTTAAGCAACTTGCCCAAGGCCTGAAAGCAAGTAAGCAGCAGATGCAAGATTCAAAAGCTTCTTATCAGCTGTGTCCAAGCCAGCATTCTGTATTGGGTATTCACTGATTTTACCTCTTTTTGCTCTCTGAACAGCCATTTCCTCATCTGTGAAATGGGGTAATGCGAGGCTTGCAGGGCTGTTGGGAAGTATAAAATGCAAGACCACAGTGCAGTCCCCGGCTGGAGACTGAAACGCTATGCACTCAGTCTCCAGGGCTGTGGGCCTTGGCTTCGTCCCCAGTTAGTTATTCCATCTCAGGGAGGTGTTTGGCTGACCCCAAACCAGCCATCCATCCAGTCGAGGTGCTAAACTATGTTAGGAGGGCATGTGTGATTCTCAGATGACAGGGCCACTTCCTTTCCTGGCTGTGTCTCCTCATTAGTGGACAAAGCGAGCTGGATGACCCCGAACTCTGAGTCTGTGAGGTAGAAAGAAGCCCTGTCATCTTGGTTCCTGGAACCTTCTGAGGACTCCGGTGCTCGTGTGGCAATGACCTGTCACTCAAGGAAGACAGCATTGAACCAAATCAACTTAGTCTCTTTTCTTTTATGATGTTTATATTTAGTGGTGGAGCTGGATGACAGACACATAAAACAAATATAGAACATAATACCCCATGTTAACAGACGAGAGAAAATAAGTCCTTAAATGCCTGGTAAGTGCTAAGAGGGAAAAGGGATAGAGTGTTGGGGTACTGTTTATTAGAAGGCATCAGAGAGGGCTTCTCTGAGGAAGTGACATTTCATCAGAGACCAATTTGGTCTCACTCCGGATCCCAAGCTCTTAACCTGGGCTATCTCCCAGAAAAATGACCAGGACAGTTTTTACCAGGAAACTTGCTGACACAGCTAAGTTAGGAGCAGATGATCTGTTGGAGGCTTGGTAAACAGCCATCCTTCTCCACTGACAGCTCTTCAGCACTTTTTAAAAAGTTTAATGGGTCATTGATTTCCTTCATTAGCTAAATCCATGAAGGAAAGGCCCAATAAATTGCATGAACCCATTCCTCAGGCATGCCTGCCGGGAAAAGATTTTAGCTATCATGACACATGGTCATTTGTTTATTTTCTAAACAGTCATCACTAAAAGAGTCCCAATCATCACCATCAAATCTCTGAGGGATTGCAGGGCTTGGCTGGTTCCCGGCCAGGCCTTGGCAGGAACTGGCAGAGCTTTACAGATGAAAAGCAAGCTGCAGAGAGCCACAGAAGACCTTGGGTCCCTCCTCCCGACCCAATATCAGATGCTTGGGACACAGACAGAAAATCAAGGTCCCTACCCCCATACAACATTATGGGGGGGGGGGGCAGGAGAGGGAAGCAAGCCAACAAATAAATAAACAGGGGAATTTTAGACAGAGGTGAATGCCATGGTGCACAAAACAAGCTCTGTTCTGTGTCAGAAAAAAACTGTCTACAGACGTGACATTTGATCTGAGACCTGAAGGGTGAGAAGATCTGCAAGAAGTGTGGTCCAGGCAGAAGTTACAGCTGGTGCAAAGGTCCTGAGGTGGAAACTAGTTCGATGTATTAAAGACCGGTCTGGAAGGGAGTATGAGAAGAGGGGAGAGGCTGGGGAGGTGGGCAGGAGTCAGGTCGCCTGGGTCTTATGGGCCAGGGTTAGGATTTATTTGGGGTTCATTCTAAGAAGGATGGAAAACTATTGGAGGGTTTTACGTATTAGAGTTTCATGATCCAAATATTAAAAGCTCTACTGCTATGTGACGAATGGATATAACGGGATTAGCAGATACCTGAAATTAGGGATTTCATTCAGGGTCAATGTTTGTGACCAGTTTCACCCTCTGCCACGGTTAATAGGTTGATTGGGGCCTCCCCCCAAAAATGTGTCCAAGTCCTAACCCCCAGAATCTAGAATATGATCTTTTCCAGAAAAAGGGGCTTTGCAGATGTAATTAATTTAAGGATCTTAAAATGAGATCATCTTGGATTACTTGGGATTGCCAAATCATCCTGGTTTAGGGTAGATCCTAAATCCAGTGACAGGTATCCTCATAAGAGTGAGGCAGAGGGAGATTAGACACACAGAAGAAGAGAAGATACAGAGAAGAAAACCAGGTAATGATGAACACAGAGACTGGAGTGATACCCCACAAGCCATGGAATGATTGCTACCACCGGGAGCTGTAAGAGGCAAGGAAGATTCTCCCCTAGACTAGAGCCTTCGGAAGGAGCACGGCCCTGCTGCACCTTGATTTCAGACTTCTGGCCTCCACAACTGTTTGAACATAAATTTCTGTTGTTTTAAGCCACCAAATTGGTGATCCTTTGTTACACGGCAGCTCTAGGAAATTAATGCAACCATGAAACAGCCCAAACCCGGACCTTGCGTTAGCCGCCTCCTGCAGCCCCCAAGAACCTGTGCGTAACTTTGGAACCACTCTGAGGCCGTTCCAGTCACTGAGTGGCACTCCCTGCAGGCATGCAGGCCACCTGGGCTACAGATAGATATTTGATTTATTTACTTAGCTCAGTTCAGGAGGACAGGAATGAACCAGCCCTGTTCTCTGTTCCTCCAAGGAGTTCTCAGTTCTGTGAGTTCCAGACAAACTAGCACTCAAAGAAATAAGGGCAGGAAGAGTTCAGGAGACAGGAGAGTCACCTAAATGGCTAAGACTTAAATTAGGCAGCTTCCAAGTGTAGGCGTTTCCAAACTTTTCACCAGAATGGGCATCTTCTGTTAATTTTCCCCCACGGAATACTGTTTCTAAAAACATTGGCTAGGACACTTGGGTGGCTCAGTCGGTTGAGTGTCTGCCTTTGGCTGAGGTCATGATCCTAGGGTTCTGGGATGGAGTCCCACATTGAGCTCCCTGCTCAGCAGGGATCCTGCTTCTCCCTCTGCCTGTTACCCGCCTCCCCCCCCACCGCTTGTGCTCTCTCTCTCTCTCTCTCTCTGATAAATAAATAAAATCTTAAAAAAAATAAAGACATTGGCTATCAAACCAGTTGTATTTATTCAATAATCACTCATTTACCTCCTTATTTGCTATTATTTGAAAGTATATAATATGCGGGCTAATAGGTGTTGATCCACTCACTACACTAAAAGCAAGATCTATAGCAATATATAATCATTCAGGCTTCACACCACCTCTATGAGGTGGGTACCTTTGTTTTCCTCATTTTACAAAGGAGGAAACAAAAGCAGAGAGAGGTTAGATAATTTGCTCAAAGTTGCAGTGCTAGCATTTAGTAGAGCTGGAATCTGGACCTAGGCAGTCTGGCTCCAAAGCAAGCACTCCCCTGGAGACTTGGTGAGAATCTTGGCTTCCGTGCCAATGTGCAATGCTACTAAGGACAAGTGATTTTGCCTCTGTGCACCTCAGTTTCCTCATCTATAAAATGGGAATAATAATAGTGCCTATATTGTAGGGTTGTTGTAGAAATTAGATGGGAGTATGTACTTGGAGTGCTAGGCACAGTGCCTGCCACAAGCACTCAAGAAATGAGCTAGAATTCAACCAGTGACATCAGGCAGCTTCTCTGGGCAGGCCTGGGATGGGAACAATGAAGAGGATGATTCAGTTCTCTAGGTCCTCTGACCCCATGGAGTTCACAATCTCCATATAATGTGCCAGGCCCGGAAATGAATGGCTTAAAGTAGAACCCATGGGAAGGCAACCTGACCTGCCTTTCTCATATGTGCTCTAAGGACCACAGGTATAGTAGCTGGAGTTGCTGGTGAAAAATACAGATTCCTGGTATCTGAATCGTTTTAGGGTGCTTCTAGAAATCGGCATTATTCAATACATGAACGTACCGCGTAATTTTTGCTCCACTGAGTCCAGTCTGAGCAGGATTTCCTTGCTACTTTGAGAAATACTGAAAATCATTCCAAGACCCCAATCCATTCATTCCTGCAGTGCCCAGGATAGGAGACCTCAAACAGAAATCTTGCATTTCAGACAAGGGCAGTACCCTCGAAAAAGGGGCGGACATTTGGCCTGAGGGGAAGACATGCAGCCCTCGGCCCATACTCCAGCTTGCAGCACTGAGGCCAGGATCCTGGCGCTGAAGGACAGATGCATGGTTACTTCAAGGTCACTCTGTGACTCAACGGGCCGCGGCGAGGCTTGAACCCAAGATCCACTGGGTCCTTGCAAACCCACGCTCCGTGGGCGGGGCTCCCAGGGTCGCCTAGGCAACCGGCGTGGGCCACGCCCAAGCCCAGATCCCCAAGGCGGGAGGAGGGAGGGAGAGCACGCTGCCGGACGTCTCGCGGGGCTGAGGCCACTTCCCCCAGCACCTCCCCCCGGCTCCGCCCCGCGGAAGTGCTTGCCGACATTTTCGAATGCTGATTGGTTCTCTCACGAGGGGGCGGAGCCCGCGGTAGCGCGGTGCGTACTTCCGGCTGCCGGGTTGACATGAAGAAGCAGCGGCTGCTAGGGCGGCAGTAGCGGCGGGAGTCGAGGCTTGCAGCGGGACTCAGAGCTGAGAGCGCGGCGCGGCCTAGAGCAGCAGGCGGTGCGGTGGGCCCAGGAGGAGGCGCAGCAGCCGCCCTGGCCCGTCATGGAGATGGAAAAGGAGTTCGAGCAGATCGACAAGGCCGGGAGCTGGGCGGCCATTTACCAGGTGGGGTAGCGCCCCGTGGCGCGGCGGGCCCCTAGCTTAGGCCGCGTGAACCTTCCCCTCAGACCCCCGGGCCCGGTCCTCCCTCTGGGTCTCGCTCTCCGCCTCGGCCCTGCTGCGTGAGGATTCGATCCGACGGCGGCAGAGGCCGGTCTCCTCTCTCTTTGTCCCCCGGGTGGGCCTGCGTCTCTCCGGGGCCTTTCAAACCCCTTTGATCCCCCACCCACCTTATATCCTCCAGCCCGGTGACCCCTCAAGCCTGGAGGCCGCCCATCGGTGGTCTCAGCGCGAATCCCTCGCACCCTGACCCCGCCCCCCTGCTTATCCACTCTTTGTCCCTTGGGGTTGATGGAACACCCCCACTACTTCCTTTTCTAGACTGGACCACCTCAGACTTTCTTCCTTTGTCTCCCTGGGGGAAAGGGTTACTCCCCCCTCCCTCCTTCACATTTCCTTTCCCCTCGTCTTAGTGTGTGTCAAGTCCCAAGGATGACAGTCCTCTTCCCTCTTCCTGTTCATTCATTTAGTGAACATGAATTGGCCTGCCTTTTCCAAGCTGGGCCTCGCGCTGGGAGTAGTGTTTGCAGAACAAGACAGACAAGACCCTATTTCTCGCGGAGCTTAGAGTCGAATAGGGCAGTCAAACCCATGAGCAAATCATTTCAGATTGTGACAAATGCTGTGAAGAAAACAGAACACCATAACGGGGTAGAGTCACTGCCTGGAAGGTGGGCCACCTCAAGGGGGATCAGGGAGGATCTGTCAGAGGAAGAGACTTTTGCTCTCTGCGCTGAATGAGGAGCAGCGGCAAGCCCTGAGATGATCAGGCCAAGGCGCTTTTCAGCCAGAAGACCTGCAATACTCACTCTTCTGGGGCCAAAATATTACCCTTTCAGGCAGGAGACAGGGAAGGTTAACGTTTTTGCCCTCTCTAAAATAGCTTCTTTCCCCAGTGAGCATCTTATCTTTTTTTGTCCTGGCTGAGATAATCGGGTCCTCCCAGTCTTCATATCCTTGTGGGTTACGTGGTTCATAAATAAAAAAGTTAGAAAAGTAGGGTTTCTCACCTATCGGCAGCATCAGCTTAACAACACGAAAAGATCTGCTTTCATAAGCAGCTAAATCCTCTAAAGAAAATACGAGCTTCTGATTAAATGTCATTGCGGGGGTTGTGAGAGGATTAACCAAAACCACACTCGGTATTTTAAATAGGCGATGGACAGAATAGGGAGATTTTTGTTACTTGTGTAACGGGAGAATGCATTTTATTCTGTTTTCAGCTTATAGTCTCAAAAGGCAAATTGTGAGATCCATCAGCTGGTAGTATTAAAGTCTATTTTGAGCTCCACTTAAAAAGGAAAAAAGCTTTAAGCAGTTCTTTGGTATGCTTGACTAACAAAAGCCTTTTTTTGGCAGGCCTGGCTTCATGTGGATTTGCATCAAGCTTATTTGACAGGATTCTTCTTACTAGGACTGTAATGGATATTAACTTCTGATAGACTAATATTTGCAGCCACTGTAATCTGTATAAGTATGCTGAATCAATATATGAAATTTGTATTCTGTCTCATCTCTGAGGTCATTGAATGAATTCCACTAGTAACTTGGAGAATGTGTAGACAAATTTTCTGCATCAAATCTAATGCAGTAGAGTCTCAAGTGACTTTAAATGAAAAAATTGTTGGTTCGAAGTATTGATTAGAATATACCCCATCACAAGTGTAGATGGCTTCTAGGAAGCATTGGGGAAAATCTTTTGTACTGAAACTAAGCTGGCAACAACAAATTCATATTCTAAAAAGTTCTTGGGAAAAAAAAAAACACAGTTCTTGGTTGAATTTTATTTCTTACTGTTTTAGGGCAGAGTGGGAAATCCATCACCCAAGCATTGTTAAAACTGTGTTGCACACGCCACCAGCATGAAGCATGTTGGTTTCCCTCATCGTTCTTATGTGTATCTACCACATTTGAACGCCAGGAGTTAGTCACATTGCAGTGTGTTGAGATTTCCCCAGCTTCTTAGTGGACTGCACATTCCTGGAGGTGGTTTCTTTTTATTTTAGACAATTGTCCACTACAGGCTTTCTCACCTACTGTACAGATATTTTTCTTTTCTAAAGTTGAAATCAGAATCTCTTCTCCTTTTTGAATTTGAAAGTGGCTCTTCATTGGGCAACTGTGGCATTTTTAAAAATGTAGAGTTCAAATGACCTTGAGTCTAAAGTGGCAAATTTCCCACAGTGCGTGTCAGTTTACCAAAACCATTATTTTTCAAGAATTCAAAGAAATGTGTTCATCGTTGGCAGAAAGTAGAAGTAAAAAAATTAATATTTTATAGCCTGTCACAGTGAGGGCAGCCTTCTAACAAAGTCATTTTGAGCTTGTGTAGTCTATTGTGATTAGAAAAATAATGTGTAATTTTGGCTTAAAATTTTGTAAATGAGGCAGTGCAGTTATTTCTCACTCTACTTCTTTCCTAACTAAAGCAAACAGATGCAAAAACTTGGAAACAATTGGGAGAGGAACAAAGGGTGAAGTAGACTTTGAATGCCGAGGAATGTGGTGGCTTAGGAAACAAATGTTTCGGGCAAAGATTCTGTGCTATCTCAACCTGATAAAATGAGCATAACTGTGTTTTTAATTGTTAATCGCATAGATACTAATCAGCATTTAGATATATAAACAGCTTTGATAGCATATGTAGATAGATGGTTTTAAAAATTGTTTTCTGTCATTTAAGCGATTGTGTGCCTATTTTGAAAAGTGGAAGTAATAGTGAGCCTGGAGTTTGAGTTGGTCTGACTGTCCAGAAGAGGAAAGAGATCGTAGATACGGGGAAAGGGATTGGTTTTCAGAGCCAGAATGGGAGAGGAGAGGGCCGGAATGAATGAAAATAGCTAATGAGCTGCCCTCCGTTTGTAGCTTCAAGTTTGGGTCAGGTGTTTTGCTGTTTGTCTCATCTCCAGTTCCTTGATTCTCTCTCTGTTCGCTATTTTTCAGTGTGAATGATGTGATTGTTTCAGATAAAGGAGATTGCAACAATAGCTCATGACTTGAAGTCAAGATTTATTCCATGTTAGAGGCAGGCTTTGTAAAGTGGGCCACTCTTCCAATTGACATTTGTTTTTATAGCTGCTTTTATTATGAAATATGATCAAATGCCTGACTGGGTTAAAACCATGTTATAACCATAGTTCACTCAAATTCCTTCCTGCCATATACAGCTTCTATTGTCACAGTCCAAGCAGATGAATATTAAAATGTCCTAGTAATTTTTATATCAATACCATTCTCTTCAGAGAAAAACTGTATTTTGTGCAGAGGAGAAATATCTATACACTATGACTCACTTCACTTAAAAAAAGACAAACGGAAATGACATGGAGAGATTGGGAAGTTCTAGTCATCTTGAGTGACCCATTAGATCTAAATGTTCTTGTGTAGCCCTGGTTTGAGTGAACTAAATTTAGGTGTCTGATCACCATTTTGGAAATGGTGGGAAGACCTCTCTAATTGTCTGGACTCAAATTAACTGGGAGCACAAGTAGAAATAGTGGGAGGGGAGGACATTTTGCTATTATTATGTCTTGGCATCCCTGGCATATTTATAGGTATACTTTGGTACTTTTGGAAGTATGTAAACTGTATCAGATGTCTCTCAAAAGTCAGCCAGGGAATCATGGTGATGCTGACGATTTTCAGTTACCAGTTGATCAACCTTTGGGCTCCACAGCCTCCTCACTGTGTTTGCATTTTAGCATGAGTGGCTCCCCCAGACCTATAAAAATACCTGGTATTGAATAATGTAATTGAATGTATACTGAATTTCATAATAGAAACACATTTTTTAAAATGCCCTGTAAGGGTTTTTCAGACTATAAACTGCTGAAATAATTGTGGCTTTTCTTTTTCTCCCCCAACCCCCTTCTTGAGTTGTCTACTTTCTGATCTTTATTTTTTTTTAAAAGATTTTATTTATTTATTTGAAAGAGAGAATGAGAGAGAGAGAGAGAGCATGAGAGGAGGGAGGGTCAGAGGGAGAAGCAGACTCCCCGCTGAGCAGGGAGCCTGATGTGGGACTCGATCCCGGGACTCCAGGATCATGACCTGAGCCGAAGGCAGTGGCTTAACCAACTGAGCCACCCAGGCACCCTGCTTTCTGATCTTTAGATTGCAGAATCCTTTCGGCAGTTTTTGTCCTATGCCATGGTTTTATTAAGCAGGTACTTTTTTGTAAACCTACCCTTTGAGCCTTGCATATTTTGTGCAAGCTGGTATTCCTCCCTAGTGTTTATGTTAATTTGTTCATTTTTGTTACTTTGTCAGTTTGTTAATTTGTCACCAGCCAATACTGACAAATAGGCTGGGCGTGTTTCTTCCTACTGCCCATGTTCTGGGGGGAAAATGGGAAGTCTAGCTGGGTCATTGCTTCCAGGACAGTATAGTTTGGTACCAGTCATTTGACGTGCATGTTTTGAATATCCATGAATGCTGGGGATAGTCCTTGATTCCCTCTATACCACATTTCATTGATTGGCCACCCTGGCATCCTTTCCACCCCTGCAGGGGTCTAGGTTCTCAAATCTTCCTTATGAGACACTTGTCATTTTTAGTTTCACACCACAGAAACGAGGGAAACTGGTAACAAATTAATATGGTCCCTTCACAGCTTCTTCGCATCTTCCCCCACCCACTGTGTATATTTTTGACATTATCCCTCGAATAATTGTGTTAAAAAACAGACCTGAGACTGGCACTCTGTTGAACTACTTCTAGTGCCTTTGTAGTATCTGCAAGGTCCAAACTCCTTAGCATGGCAGCCAGGTTCCAGCCATCCCCTCCCATGTACATTCTATTCTAGCCACACTAGAAGGTACAGTGTCCCCCACACATCATCCTTAGCTTTCACTCTTCTATGTCTTGGCTTAACACTCTGTCCAGGCAGCCTTTCCCACAATCTAGCTTGCGTCTCCCAGCTCCAGTGTGTGCCTCCTCGCTTTGGATTTTGCTCTCTCCTCTGTGTGTGTGTTTCCAGACAGCTTCATACCTATCTCATCTAAAGCCCTGCTCTTAAAGGCACTGTTTCTTTCCATCAGGGCCTGTATCCTCTGGAGTCCAAGCTGTTGAGGTCAGCTTTTCCTTCTTTTCATTCATGTTGGTGTCCTCTGCACCTGGCACAAAGTGCCTAAGAAATGTTGGGATAAAATTGGTTGGCAGGACGCTGCCAGGCCCTGGCAGTGTAAAGACGAACAAGACCTGTTTCCCAACTCCCATTCTAGGTGGGGAGGGAACCAGAGAAACAATTAGATTAGCCTGCATTAGTACTGATAGGAGAGGTCACTCTTGTAGAAAATCACCACATTTTAAGGTATGGCCTACTGAGGCAATCTAATACCACCTGCCCTGGTGGCTTGGAGGAAAGGCTGGACTTCTTACCTACTAGAAGCTGATGCCACCAGTTTGTTTTGTAGGAATTTTACATTTAATTTAATAACAAATTTGTGCTTGGACTGAGATGAACTTAAGAGGAAAATTGGGGGTGCTCTAAGAATTACTGAATTACTCTTCCTCGTCACTCTTGACTTGTTCTCATGTGCCTTCTAAAAGGGCTTTGCATGTGGTTGGTTTGTAAAATATTTCTGATTATGGTTCTCCACAAAGTAAAAACCCTTACAAGTCTGTGATTCCCCGTCCCCCGAAGTATGAATGGTAAAGGCAAATGTTTTTTGGTCTTTATCAGACCACCCTTCGGGCCAGGAGAGTAGTTGAATCTTTTGCTTTTATTTTGGTCCCAGCTCTGTCACTAACGGTGCTAACTTTATTCTTCAGTCCCTTCCTTTGTAGAAGTGATCCTGGCCTAACTGATCACTGGGTTCACGTCAAGTAATAAAAGTCTTTAATGTACTCACAAAGAGAATTTAACGTTCCCGAGGTCATCCCTGTAAACACTGCAGTGGTTACTCAGTTTTGTAAGGTGTGGGTGTCGGTGAGTACAGTTAGGCTCAAAAATTTATATGAGTTTTGTGAGTATAGTTAATGATTCAAAAGAATTGAGTCTTTTTTTCCCCAAGAAGTATTAAACATTTTTAATCAGTATGGTTCATTTGACTTAGTAATGTGGGAAAATGAGTAGCACTGACAGGCAATCTGCTTGCAGTTTTTCTCTAAGCAGCAATTGGGTGGTTTTTCCTGTAAAAGATAGAGGAACTGATTCTTGAGAATTTACGAAAGATTCAACCCCAGCTAGGTACCCGAAGGGTAGCTGCCCTTTATGATGTAATTTTAGAAAGAAACCTACATCTGGTCTAAACTTCATTTGAATAGTATGATAGTTTACACAGCTGCCATGTTTGAGAAGAAAGTACCTAAGTCTCCAGCATTTTAGAAATAATACTTTGTAGAAGTGGACTTCATAGTTCACTGGCTACTGCCCTTTTAGCTAGGCAGTGTGACATAATCACGGGTATCTTACTAACAGTTTATAAATTTTGAATGTCTGAAAACTGGAAACAAGACCATTTCACGTGGAAAATTTTTTTTCTGCTGAAATAAATAGCCAAAGAAAAGTCTAGTCCCCCATATCCATTGATGGAATGTGGTACAAGTCACACTGCAGACGAAATAACGACTATTAATAAATGATTTTTGGTCTTTTAAAAAAAAATGTGACATGATTCAGTTTGCAGTTCTGAATGCTTATGATTCTAGCAAGGCAGTTTGTTTTCCACGTCGCCCATTGCTTCCTACTCGGAATCTGGTACCGTGCTGGGAAATTCAGGTTCCTGACTGAGGGGTTACCGCTTGTTGAAGTAAACCTTTGGGCCCAAGTGGACTTGGGTCCTAGGCTTCTTCTCTCTTACTTGCCGAGGCTTCCCAAAGACTGAGTGGGGCATGTTTTCTTTTACAGACGAAGAAGGAAAAACCTCGGCTGTGTTTGTGGCTTTTGTGGGCGAGCGACACCACTGCCAGAGATAAGATGAGCATAGCACAGCTAGGTTTCCAAAACTGTGTTTTTTAAATGTATTAGTTAGTGACGGGAGAAGGAAGAAGTCTTCCTGATCTGTTATTCTCATGAAATGTTTTTCCCCTGACTCTTTCTCGTACCTAATGGGCTTCTTATTGGTGCATCTCTTCCTTTTGAGGAATCTCATTTTAAAATTGCCACACTAAGTTTCACTGAACAGCTTTGCTAGTTTTTATTCTGATGAGTACTGATTACTCAGAAAATTATACACTGTGGTGAATTGCTTACAGGAAAGCGAACATCAAGTAATTATTCCAAACAGTTGGAGTTCTCTTAAGAACAAGAGGTTACTTAAAAATGCCTGTGGATGAAATCACTTCTGAATATAACTTCACCCAAGAGAACAAATAGGCAAGCTGCATTTAATGTAATGTGGTAAATCAGCTTTAAATTCCCTTGATGGTTAAACATTTGTCACTGTTATATTTATCTCTTTTAGATTTTGTCCTGCTTCATTATTCAAATAGGGCTTAGTTTGCTTCTGCAAGGGCTAAGGAAAGAAGTGCCTTCACTAGGGCATAAATACTTGTGTGGCTCACTTTTGCAGGGAGAGAAGGTGCCTCTAAGAAGATACTTCGCGGTCTTCTTTGGGGGGGAGGGTATTTTGCTTTGTGTTTCTCTGTTGTTGTTTTGCTTTGTTTTTCCTCTGATTGGGACTGTATTTTACAGCGTCTTAGAGTCAGGAGCATCTAGGAGCGTCGCCGTTACTGTTCTCCACGACCTGGATACCACCTCCCCGTTGCCAGGGTCTTTGGGTCATCCTCCTCCGGGGTGGGGTGAAGTGGTGCAGTGGAATGGTGCAAGGTCAGGAAGTTGCATTAAGCTGCATCAGGTTTACAGGCTCAAAGCTACATTTCTGGAGCAGTCCCCCGTGCACCCGGTGATTTAGCTACGCTAGGGTAGCTGGTCACGTCTTTAGAACAGTCCTTGAGAAGCCACATCCCTGTGATTTAACGGATCCTTTATGTACCCATGATGGTACCATTTCTGTCGAAGTATATTAAATATTCCTTCACATTCCCACTAACAGTTTTTCTTAGCATACCCTGCAAATACTAGTGTCGTAAGCGGTATTTGATTTCATCTGTTCTTGCCACAGCACCCAGGTCTGCTGCTTTCCCTTATTTTTCTGCCTGCTAGGAAGAATGCTTCTGAGCGTTTGAGTAAGGACAGTATTGAGCGCACAGAGGTCGTTGGCAGGTTCTACCACACCTTTCCTTAACCACTTGTTTCTATCTTTTGTGAGCTTGTGTTCTTTCCAGAAAACTTACCAAAACATATTCATCATGCAGAGAGAATCACTGTAAAAGTTTAACAAACCTAGTTGTTTTTTTGTTGTGTTTTTTTTTTCTTAATGAACATGTATTTGTCAGCTGAGCTTCCTTTTGCAACTTGCTCCACTACTTGATGACCAGAAACTTTTGTGTTTCCCAACAGACTTTGTTTGTTGGAAGATGTTGTTTTTGAAAGTAGGAAATAAATGGTTTTAGGAGATGGAGGCAAGCTTTGGGTTGAAGTAGGAGTCTAGTGTGTCCCTACTTCTTGGTGCGAAGTGCAGCTGGAGATGGGTGTGGTCCGTCCTCTAAAATTTCCTATCTTCAGTTTGAGGAGGTGGTTACCATTCTAACCACTTAAGAACTGCACGGTACATGCTGTTTTATTTACAGGGCAAAACTTAGCTCTAAATGTTCCCCTCCTACTTGTCTTCAAATTAATAAATGTCATTTTTGGGGAATGTTTACATGTCAGGTCTGTTTTAGAAGGAAGAAAGGATACAGCTGAAGTTAAAGGCACAAATGGGCATCACACCCTTAGTTTTGTAAATGCCTTCCTTTAATGTTGATTTTTGTAGGTTGATCATAAGGAAGTGATAAGTATGTTAGGTTATTTGTGGTTTGAGCTAATTTTAGTCTCCTGTTCACAGCTTGCTTTATATCCTTTGACATTAAAACATGCTTTCTAGAAAGACAGATTTTGAATGTAGGACACAATCTATATTCTCCAGTGGCCTGCATTTCACAAAATACTTTCTCAGTACTTTGGAAGTTGGACAGTTTGAAGCATAGTAACATTCTTTTAAATCATTAATTCCTTTGCTTAGCGACATCTCTACTTTTCCAGTGAGTGAATTAGATTCTTTCATAGAAGTTTGGAACTCTTGCTCCAAGCTGGTGGCTAAAAGGGCACAGTTAATATTAGAGGATTTTTAAAAGAGCATGATTGACCCTGAGATGTACTACTGAAGCGAGGCTTTGGTTGGCTGTGTATCAGAAACCTTCCCCACCCTGTGTCCTCGGTCGATAGGGCCTTTTGCTCCCAAGGGCTGGGCCTTAAATCTGTCCCCAGTGCTGATTAAGTTCACATAAGACAATTGTGTTTCCAAGCTTTAGTCCCAGGCTGCCCTGCTACCACCCTTAACCAACCACCCTGAACAGACCTCTCCCCAGGGATTTGTGAGGTAATGGAAAAAGACGGCTGGGTTCGGGCTCTAGGTTGGCCTTCGACTGTTGTGGGACCTTGAAAGAGTTACATGCAGGATGTGTAAAATGTGGTGATTAGACGAGATCGCCTTACAGCATGACCCAAAGCTAACATTCTACAACTGCAGAGTCGCACAAGGAGCCAGGAGAATGGGGCAGCTTTTCTGGAAAACTTGGGGCTTCGTGTCCTACTCTTGCTGGATTTGGTAGCTTTATATGTTATGCGATTCCCCCTTATCTAAAAGTGAGATGGATCTTTACTCACCTTAAAACTTTAAAAATCCGTTATTATGTCCTTAAAAATAATTACAATGCCCAGTGAGAGCGTAAATCAGTTTTTATAAAGTTACTGCGTACCATATTGATGAATGTTGTTTCCTTAGAAACTTTTCTTAGAAATCCTTTTTATGTCTAAAAAGGATTACTGGCTTTTGTAATTGGACTAGTACCTCCCATTCAAGGGAGAAATGCACAGTCTGATCCATGTTCTACCCTCATTCGTAATAGAACCCTTTAAACAGCTAACATTTATTGAGTTCTGTTTCTGTGCTCCAGGCACTGTGCAAAGGGCTTTACATGCACTACTGTGTATTATGCATCATAAGTTGGTCTTTAATAAGCAGGAAATGTTTTAGGAGGACAATTAGGTGTCAGAGCCTTGGTGTTCTTCTCTGCTTGAGATCTCCTGTGTCATGAATCCAACTTGACAGCAGCATTGTGGCCATGCTCACACCGGTGCACGGCTGCAGAGGGAGACAAGAATTGTGCGAAGTCTCCTGATTTATTAGGACATAGAGAGTTTGTAGATTGAGACCTTTACCCAGTTTTCTGTCATCTACCCAAGAGGTCAAACTGGCCACCCGCGGACCTATTTTGCCGGGTCCGCACAGTGTTTTTGTTTGTTTGTTTTTGTTTGTTTGTTTTTTAAGAAGAGTTTAAATTTTTGTCATTGTTTCTGAATCAGGAGAAGTCACATACAAATCTGGATTTCTGGTCTTCTCTTGAGAAAAGTCTGAGGACTATCCTGTCTGAGCCTACCTTGGCAATGGTCTGCTGGGCTGAGGGGCACCACTCCTGCCGGATGGACACGTGTGTGTTCTTCAGTTTAGCACGGCTCCACAGCGGGTCACGCTACCCTCCCTTACACGAACCACCCAGCCCTTGGATGCTCTTGAGTTTGCAGCTTCTAGTCCAAGTTGGGTGTTTTTTTTTCTTGGCATTTGATACTAGTATTAGAATTAAGATGATTTAAAAAAGATGTTTAGCCTTGCTAAGTAGCTGGTATACTGTCATTAGGGAAGATCAAAGCAAGGGAAGACTAGCCAGAGATAAAGTTTGGTGGCTAGTGTGAAAATGCCTAGGAGAATGCCCTTGACATTAAAATCCAGGATGAAATCTTGAACCAGGTGCCTCTTCCTGCCCTTCCCCCTTTCCCTCTTCATCTTTAGCCCCCTTCTGCTATTTTGAGGAAGTTGGAAGCTGCCACCATTTTTTTCCACCGTGGGCGCCTGAATGTAAGTGTATTTTTGTCCCATGTTCAGCTATTTCCACGAACTATTTTTGATGACCAACATGGAAATTAAATTGGGACTTGATAAAAAGAATATGCTTGCATTGAGAAGCCAAAGAAGTAGTGTTTTAATGACTCGTTTTGTGACTTGGTTAGGGATGATACCATTTGTCATGTGTGTCTGAACTCATGATTAGATGGCTTCTTTACCTTACTCTGTCAAGGAATGAAATAAATGGTAGCCATGATACAAGTAAAATAAATATACAGGTTATAAAGAGTGTGTGTTGTTAAGGTCTCTATCCCTGTTCAGGAGCAGAAGGACATGTTATATTGTAGGTCATTCTTTTTCTTTGATCCTTCTTGCATCTATTATCCCATAGAGGTATGTTGTATATGACAAATTAGAACAAACAATAGACAGGGAAGATTCTTTACCATTATTAGTCATGTCATCAAGGTCTTTGTTCTAAGTTTTGTACTTTTCCCTCCAAAGCTGAATCCCAAAAGGGGATCCCAAAACCAGCTCAGTGTTTTAGTACCCCTAAATCGTGACGGGATAACATTAGCCATTTTATACTTTTTTTGTATATGTGAAATGAAAATCAACCTAAAGACCCAATCTCTCCGTGAAGCTTTTCATCCACCCTCATTTCCTCTCTGTTCTAAAGTGTAAGCTTCTTGCAGCCAGAGTCCATTCATTCAGTCACTCAACAAATACATGAACAGCTCCTGGGTGCTAGGGCCTCACTAGACAGTGAGGATAAGTGGCGAACAAGACACACTTGGTCCTCACCCTTAGAAGCTTCATAGTCCAGCCAGCAAAGGGGCTGAATGGAGACAGTCCCAGTTCAGAGTGGTAAGAACTGTCACAGGCCTGGGCCCAGGGCATACTCAGAAGTAATTAATTGGCATTGAGAGCAAGAAAAACAGATGGAGGAGCTGTCAGGTAAGGATAGCCTATAAAAGTAATGTCTAAGTGGAGATCCCAAGAGCAAGCAGCCGTGAGCCCCGTATGTTCTCCAGACCCCTAATCTGGGCATGCTTCTCCTTGCCCTTTATATTAAGTGTGACATTACCTGTGTTTGAAAGCATGGGAACATACTTAACTTTCTTTCTCTTCAGTTTTAACCCTTCTTCCATCTGTAGCACACAATTCAAGTGCATTGTGTACCCTCCCATACATAGTTTCTTTCTCCCTTCTTTTCTGTTTCCTGTGCCATTATGTCTTACCTTGACTGCACTAATGGCCTTGGAACCCTTCTAATAGGATGGCATAGTGGGGGTTACATCATGGCATTGACTGCATGCCCCCATGCAGTGGGGTCATCTGTGTAGATGTCTTCAGGAGGAGGTTTGTGTGCCATCAGCTTACAGCCCGAGAGCGCCAACAGTGCGCTGCACTTAGTAGGCAAGTAAATGCAGTATTCACTGCAATGGTTGGTAACTTTGGTATAAAGAGTTTATGCAGATCCTCTTCAGTCCGTACAACAGAATTATTATATATTTTAATAGGCCAAATACTTTAAGTATAAGCCTGACTCGCTAAGAGTAAATTGAAAATAGGTGGTTAGACCCCTGATTTGCAGCTGACACTATGAGAATGAAGGTCTCAATTATTCATTGTGAATTTTAAAGGATATTTTTAATGATGTTGGCTGACTTTTCCCATTATGTGGTCTGTTTATTAGCAGTTTTTGGTACACAGATGGCTTTGAGTGATTATTTCAAGTCAAGTACCTTATAAAATAACTTAAATTTGCTGATAATTATCCTACTTTTAAATGGCTTAGTAATAGGCTTTAACTTTTAGGCATTTAAACGCTTTGGATATGATTACAAATTCTGAGACTACGATTGCTTAAGTTTAGACACAAACACGTTCATCTGAGAAATTCTGAGGGATTTACTGGTTACTGCCTGTTTCTCATTCACATGCTTACTGTGCCTTCCTTGCCGTACAGAAGGGGTCAAAATTGGTATCTGCAGACCTTCTTCCCTTTTCCCCTTCTTCTGATTCTAGCTGTGAAGTTACGTGCAGAATTGTCCTGCATGTGATAAAAAATAGTCATTGATTACTAATTAAATATTTGAAAAGGAGAGTTTTCTTTACCAATAGATGACTAAGAAAAAAAGACATTTTGACTATTTCTCCTTTAATGGTGAGCGGGTTGATTAAGCATGCGCATGCGCACCCATGTGTGCGTGTGTGTGTGTGTGTGTGTGTGTGTGTGTTCTGGTTTTATTTTGAAATCATATCCATGTCTGTAGAACATAGCAGAAGTAGATGTGCGGAGTAGAAAAAGAATAGTTCACAAGCCTGTCAACAGCATCACTAAAACATAGCCATTAAATGGCCAAAATATTGCAGGGAGTGGCAGGGTAAGTACCATTTTTAAGGTGAAAGTAAATAAGAAATAATTATAAAAAGGCATTCTTTATAGAAGTCCAGACTCTGGATAAGACCCCTGGTTCATTGATTTGCTAAGGAAAGTGAAAGTGAAAACACTTGGGGTTGGAGGGGAGATGTAGGGAGTGTGAGTATCTTAATCCTAGGAGTCAGTCAAGCTTTCCTCCTAGTCAATACATTGCCATACTGGGGAAGTGTTTAATTACTTGCGCCCCGCCCCCCGCCCCGGCATCCCTGCCTCCTCCTCTTCATTTACCGGACTCACAACAGGGTCTTCTGTTCCAAGGCTGCTGTCACCCCTGGGCCATGTCAGTGTTCATTTGGGCAGGCCGCCCAGCATCCCCACCTCATCCCTGGAAATTGCATGTCCCTCTCTTTTTGCCACCTCCCTCCCATAGGCAAGCCTTGGTCCTTGCGATCTTCTCTCCCTTAGACATCTCAGACTCAGATCCCGTGCTCTGCAATCACAGCCTCCTGTGCTTCCACACTCCCCTCACTCAGTTACTTCCCCATCTCTGGGTTTTCTTGTCATTCAGATTTGCGGCTGCTCCTTTCCCAGCCCCAGGTCCTCTCTCCCCTTCTTACACAGTGGTCATGACTCTTGAAATGCTGTCTCGCCAACATTCCTAGCCCTTTTGCCCATCTGCCTCCTATCGGCTTACGTGACCAGCTCTAGCCCTGGACCAGCCTTTCTCTCCCTGCGCCCAGGCCCCTAAGTGCTAAGGGGAGAAGATCTTCTAAGTGGAGAGAATCTCTCAGTCTTGCAGGGTGAGCCACTAGAAATCCAGTCTTCAGCCTAGATCTGTCTGCCCCCAACCCCTGGCTGTCAGATCTGAAACTCAGCTGCCATCCTTCCTACCTCATTTCTCTCACAAGAAGGGACCCTTCGTTCCTGTCTGGGGCAACCCTTAGGTCTGTGCTCTTGACCCCTGCCTCTCTCACCTGTTCAAGGCATCTTGCCCTAACAGGTTAGTGACCCTGTAGGCATGTGTCCTTCACCTTCCCTCTCTATTGTCATCTTACTTGGACCGGTAAACCATTCTCAGGCTTCCTCCAGCTGTGACTGTCCGTCCAGCCACTGTTCTTTAGTTTCCTTCTCCAGTTGAAGTGTTTGAAATAAATAGGTCACGGTGTCCATTGTTCACCTTCCAGTTACTTTGGCTCAGGGAAGTTAGGCTCCACCCTACCAAGCCCCTAAAATAATTCTTGGGAAGGTCACTATTAGCTTCCTTGTTGCTAATCCAACGGATTCTTTGCATCCTTATCATAGTACCGTTTAACATGGCTGACCTCTGTTTGCTGCTTCAATTTTCTCTAACCCCTATTTCTTTAACTTGCTCTTTTTTCCTTTTTCTTTCTTTTTATAGCTTCTGTTTCTCTAGCTAGTCCTCGGTCTCCCTCTTGGGCTTCTTCTCTGATCCTCTACTGGGGAAGTTCCTCAGGGGTCTGCCCACACTGCCCCTTTTCATCTGATTCTTTGTTTCTTCCGGGGCTGTCTCAGTTATTCGCTCAGGAAGTAGTAATGGCCCTTGAATTCAGAGCATGCACGTACACATTCTTGCGCTCTGGTGTGGCTTTCAAAACACTTTTAGTTCCTGAAATGGTAATGCTCTCTGTCTCTCACAGAGCCTTTACATGTATTGTTTCCTCTGCCTAGAACGTTCTACCTTGCTAATTCTAGTTCTTCCTTTCAGTCACATCTTAGGCATCCTCTTAGGAGGCTTTCTCTGATTTCCCCTTTCCCCAGATCCAAGTTAGGTACCTCTTATAGGTCTTCCCATGACCCCCATATTTCCCTTTTCATAGCATGTTGTGTGGTTGTACTGTAATCATATCTACTGTTCTTTAATTGCCTGTTTACCAGCCAATTTCCAAGTCATCTGTCAAGTCTTAAAAGAGTCAAGACTGCTTTTGTCTTAGTCATTTGTATCTCTTAGTACCCATTTATAGTACCTGGCAGATAAACAGTGCCCAATAAGTCATTCCTGAATGAATAGATGAGCTGTGCTATTTAGAATGTTCATGAATTGGGGTGCCTAGGTGGCTTAGTTGGTTAAGGGTCTGGCTCTTGACTTGGGCTCAGGGCATGATCTCAGGGTTGTGAGATCGAGTCCCGTGTCGAGCTTCACGCTCACGGGGGAGTCTGCTTGAGATTCTCTCTCTCCCTCCCCCTTAGCCTCCCCCCCAAAAAAAGGTTCATGAACTGCTTGATAGGGAAGCATCGAGTTTATAGTATTGTAGAAACCATGTGTTACTGACCCACCATCGATTTAGCACACACTTTGTTTTCTCTATATGTTTTATATTAATTTTCTGTCTGACATACCCTTCCTCCCCCGCTAAGATTAGAAACCCCTTCTGAGGGACAACCATGTATAATTCTGGGTGTCTCCCTCAGAGTGCCTTGTATGTCCTCGGATTTAATTTCACTGGGGGGCCTACACCCAGATATGTTTATGCATATATATACACATACATGTGTGTATATGCATACACACACATATACACACATGTGTATATATGCATATATATACACATATACACATACGACACTTAGCGGAACAAAGTCTCATCTGTTATCTGTCCTTGTCTTCCTCAGCTTGCCCGGTCTCTGTGCCATGCACAGACCATGCCAATCTGGAGGGGCAATTTCCCTGTGGCTTATTAGCTGTTGTGTTCCAGCATGCTGGCCAAGTATGAGAGACAGCGGTATGAAAGTCTCCCTCGCTCAAACTTCATAGGCTTGGTAGCTGGGACTGACCAATGCTGACAGGAAATAGAGGCATTTATTAAAAACCAGAGAGTTGTCAACTTGCAGGAAGCAAAGCTCTTGTTAGCATATGATTTTGTGGTTGGTTTGGTGCAACTCTGTAAAAGTAAAGAACTAGGCAAGAATGGGGGCTGTGTGCTTGGGTCTCTAAAGTTAGATCCTTTTTCCTAAGTAAATTGCCTTTAGAGTTTCACTTGTTTGGAATTTCCTGAGATTTGGATCTTGCCAGAAAGTTCCGAGCAAAAAAAATTCTGGGCAGGTGAAGCATTTGCATCTGAAACGAAGTCACTATTTTTGTCTTTCACTTTTTTCTTAACATATTATCCCTGGTTCAGCCCTGAAGATTATTCTATTATTTGTGGATCTTAACCTTTCCCTCTTCTGGATCTTATGAAATAAGCGGTATTATTTGAATGGAGAAGAGGAGGAGAGGAATAAAAATAAATGTGAAAGCCTTGTTTCTTGCCTGGGCAAGCTCGGCTTTATAGCTTGGAGCGGAATGACACATCTAGTTTGGTGAAGAAGGGATACTTAGGGTTGCTTTGGCTTCTTACTGTATTTGATTTTTTTTTTTTTAGGGTTTTCTTTTAAACTGGAATTTTTATGTGAATGTAATCAAATTTAGAATAGAAGCACTTTTATAATTTGCAGAGCACTTTTTGCAGAGCACCTATTTTAAAACTGTCATTATGGTGAACGACTTGGGGCGAGGATTGTTCTTCAAGTGAACTGAGACCCGACACCCCCCCCCCCCCCGGCGTGATTAAATGGTCATAGAGCAGACCTCTGACCCGAAGGGAATCCTGCTCTTCCTGGTCCAGCGGCCTTTCCGCCACATCCTCCAGATGTGTGACTTTCCTGGAGCCCCAGGATTGCCTTTCATCAGAGTAACTGAGTCTGAAATGGAATAGAGATTTCCTATTAGATTATAGCACTTGCCTGCCTTCATTCTGCTTATGTCAATTAGAGCAGCAGATCTGAATCCTCCATGTTAAGTTACTGAGTTTGTTTGTTTTTAAGTAATCTCCACACCCAGCATGGGGCTTGACCCTGAGATCAAGAGTCCCATGCTCTACCGACTGAGCCAGCCATTTGCCCCTATTTACCGAGATTTTTTAAACCTAAAAATGCCTGCAAACAAGGTTGAAGGGTCAGGGGTAGAACAGTTAAGAACAGAGTAGAAACAGCTTTAAAGACAGGGTTGTTGGTAGGAGTCTTATAAAACGAGTAGAAGATTGTGTGGG